AGTGAAGGACACATGCCTGTGTTGCAGGCTTGTTCCCCAGTAGGGGGCGTGCAGGAGGCAGCCTAGCAAGGATTCTCTCTCAGCATTGATGTTTCCCTCTCTCTCTCCCTCTCCCTTCCTCTCTGACATCAATAAAAATATATTTTAAAAAGAGATATCCAGCACTCAAGGGAAAATCATGTCTGGCATCCAAACTAAAATTACCAGGCATGCAGAGAAGCACCAAAATACAACCTCCTAACCAGGGAGGATATTAACCAATGGAAAGGCCTCCAATTTGAAAACGAAGCAAAACCGCCTTTATTCTAAGAAAACATGATCATCTTGCAGACAATCTGATGGCATCTATAAAAAGAGCTGCTATAATAAGTAAGTTTAGCAAGAGCTGCAATATAATTTACAAGGAGCTCATTCTTTCCAATGAAAGGCTTAAACCAATTGTCCCAGCACTTTTCTTCACTGACCTGGGTCAAGGCCAGTCAGCCCACAAAGCTATGCTTTTAGTATTTTGAGGTTGCTTGCTCTTCTCATGCGAACTAGATTTAAAACACATTTTTGTATTTAAAAAAAAAAAAAGCCGAAACCGGTTTGGCTCAGTGGATAGAGCGTCGGCCTGTGGACTGAAAGGTCCCAGGTTCGATTCCGGTCAAGGGCATGTACCTGGGTTGCGGGCACATCCCCAGTGGGAGATGTGCAGGAGGCAGCTGATCGATGTTTCTCTTTCATCGATGTTTCTAACTCTCTCCCTTCCTCTCTGTAAAAAAAAATCAATAAAATATATTTAAAAAATAAAAATAAAACACATTTTTGCCCAGGAGACTCAATCGTGACAAGGATGTGGGAAATCAGCATTCTCGTGAGGGGGTACGTTTTTTATGGTGCCCTTTTTTTATGGTTAATCCTCATCCGAGGAAATTTTCTCCATTGACTTTCAGAGACAGTGCAAGGGAGCGGGAGAGACAGAGAGAGAAACATTGATGTGAGAGAGACACATCAATTGGTTGCCTCCTGCACGTGCCTTGACCTGGGCCAGGGATCAAGCCTGCAACTGAGGTACATGCCGTTGACCAGAATCAAACCTGGGACCCGTCGATCTGAGGGCCAACGCTCTATCTATTGGGCCAAACCGGCTAGGGCTTCTGCAATGCAATTTTGCACTGTAGAATGAGAGCTTTATACAATAAATCGTATTTAACTCAGTAAGTCCACCTCTTGGAATCTATCTTAAAGAAAAAATCATTCATGCAAAGATTTATATACAAGAATTCCAGCCTGGCCAGTATGGCTTAGTTGCTTGAGTGTTGTCCCGTGTACCAGGAGGGCACTGGTTCTATTCCGGGTCAGGGACATGCCCAGATTGCAGGCTCAATCCCCCGTGGGGGGCCTTCAGGAGGCAGCCGATCAATGATTCTCTCTCATCATGGATGTTTCTATCCCTCTTTCCCTCGCCCTTCCTCTCTCTAAAACCAACAACAACATTTTTTAAAAGATTCCATTGCACCTGGATGGCGTGGCTCAATGGTAGAGTGTTGACCTATGAACCAGGAGGCCACATTTTGATTTCTGGAGGCAGCTGATCAATGATTCTGTCTCATCGTTAATGTTTCTGTCTCTCTCTCCCTCTCCCTTCCTCTCTGAAATCAATAAAAATATATTTAAAAATAAAATAAAAATTCCATTGAATCATTACCTATAATAGGACAAAAACTGAAAATAATTTAGTCAATAATTACATTATAATGTATCTGTTATGTCTCCATTCAGTAATGCTTTTGAAGAATTTTTATTTATTTATTATTTTTTAAAAATATATTTTATTGAGTTTTTACAGAGAGGAAGGGAGAGAGAGAGTTAGAAACATCAATGAGAGAGAAACATCAATCAGCTGCCTCCTGCACATCTCCTATTGGGGATGTGCCCCCAACCCAGGTACATGCCCTTGACCGGAATCGAACCCGGGACCTCTCAGTGCGCAGGCCGACGCTCTATCCACTGAGCCAAACTGGTTTTGGCAAGAATTTTTAGAAAGAGGAAAAGTTCAGCCCTAGCCGGTTTGCTCAGTGGATAGAGCATCGGCCTATGGACCAAAGGGTTCTGGGCATGTAACTCTGTTGCAGGCTCCTCTCCAGCCCAGGCCCTGGTTGGGGCACCTGCAGGAGGCAACCAATTGATGTGTTTCTCTCACATCAATATTTCTCTCTGTCTTTCCCTCTCTCCTCCACTCTCTCTAAAAACCAATGGAAAAATATCCTAGGGTGAGGATTTAAAAAAAAAAGAGGAAAAATTCATGTTAGATGAAAAATATTAGTAAAGCCCTGGCCAGGTAGCTGTTGGTTAGAGCATTGTGCCACTATGCCAAGGTTGTGGGTTTGATCCCTGGTCAGAGCACATACAAGAAGCAACCAAGCCGAAACCGGTTTGGCTCAGTGGATAGAGCGTTGGCCTGCGGACTGAAAGGTCCCAGGTTCGATTCCGGTCAAGGGCATGTACCTGGGTTGCGGGCACTTCCCCATTGGGGGATGTGCAGGAGGCAGCTGATCGATGTTTCTCTCTCATCGATGTTTCTAACTCTCTATCTCTCTCCCTTCCTCTCTGTAAAAAAATCAATAAAATATATTTAAAAAAAGAAGAAGAAGAAGAAGAAGAAGAAGAAGCAACCAGAAGAAGAAGAAGAAGAAGAAGAAGAAGAAGAAGAAGAAGCAACCAGAAGAAGAAGAAGAAGAAGAAGAAGAAGAAGAAGAAGAAGAAGAAGAAGAAGAAGAAGAAGAAGAAGAAGCAACCAATAGCCCTGGTCAGTTTGGCTCAGCGGATAGTCAGCTTGCAGAAAAGGGTCCCTGGTTCGATTCCGGTCAAGGGCATGTACCTTGGTTGTGGGCACATCCCCAGTAGGGGGTGTGCAGAAGGCAGCTGATCGATGTTTCTCTCTCATTGATGTTTCTAACTCTCCATCCCTCTCCCTTCCTCTCTGTAAAAAATCACTAACACATATTTTTAAAAAAGCAACCAATGAATGCATAAATAAGTGGAACAACAAATGGATGTTTCTCTAGCACATGAAACAATAAATAACAAAAAAGAAAAATATTAGTAAAAATGCTAACCTTGCAAAATATTATACATTATGTTATTCTTTTTAAAAAATATATTTTATTGATTTTTTACAGAGAGGAAGGGAGAGGGATAGAGAGTTAGAAACATCAATGAGAGAGAAACATCGATTAGCTGCCTCCTGCACACCACCCCCTACCGGGGATGTGCCCGAAACCAAGGTACATGCCCTTGACTGGAATCGAACCCGGGACCTTTTAGTCCTCAGGCCGACGCTCTAGCCACTGAGCCAAACCAGTTAGGATACATTTTGTTATTCTTATGCGTTTACTATATAAATACAACTATGAAACTAAGGAAGGATTCCAAAATGTTCACAGTAGTTCATACTGAATGGCAGGACCCATTTTCCATTTCCTAAATTGTCTTCAGCTTCCTTGTAGTGTTGGAATATCTGATTCCCAGACCTCCCCTCCAACCCTGGGACAAAGACAAGACTATGAGGAGGTGCTGTCGTTGAAGAGAAACTCAGACATGGAATAGAAGCTCAGTTTTATTTGCTGTAGTGACAAACACTTAAGCACCAAACGAAACAAGTGGACCACAAGTGTCCAAGGGCCAGTACAGGCTAAAGATGAGGGCCTTGTAATAAAGTGGCAACTACTGCAGGAATCACTGCCGTAGGAAGGACCGGATACAAGGTTGGACTTCAGCCCCCTTTTCCTAGCCCAGGCTCAGCGGGGAACAGGGGGCCCGAAGCGCTGCATGGTCCGCATCACTAGGGAAAGCTGGTCAAGAAAGTTGATGATGGAAGTTCGGAGGAGACGAGAATCTTCAGCTCTCCAGTGGCTAAAAGGGAGGGGAGAAAAGAAAATCAGCCCGGCTGGTGTGGCTCAGTGGTTGAGCATTGACCTATGAACCAGGAGGTCACGGCTTGATTCCTGGTCAGGGCACATGCCCAGGTTGCCAGGTAGATTCCCAGTGTGGGGCGTGCAGGAGGCAGCCGATCCATGATTCTCTCTCATCATTGATGTTTCTATCTCTCTCTCTCCCTTCCTCTCTGAAAACAATGGGAATATATTTAAAAAAAATAAATTCAAGTTAGAGGTGATGACTCCTCCCTTCCTTGCTCTGCCCCTCAGGCATTACACTGAATCTTTTGCTGTCCCCATGACAACACCCCTTAGACCGCACCAAACCTAATCCTTGAGTGTTTCCGGGTCTCCAGCAAAGCACCCCTTGGTGGAGACTGGCACTGCCACCTGCTGCCCCGCCTCCTCCCCGCCCCCCTTGTAGAGCTTACACCGCTAGAACGCTGCCATTCACTGTGAATTCCTTCCGAACCACTTCTCGGTGAGGTTCCACATCGGGGTCCAGGGATCCACGGGCGATATCTGCCTCCAAGGGCGACGGGAAAGGCACATTGAGGGCGCTGGTGGAGATTGTTAAGGCACCATCCACACCGACTTTGTGTCTCAGGTCCCCTCCCAGGCCACCTGGGCTAGTCTCACCCCCTCCAGACCACCCCTGGGCCTAATTCCCACCAGCCACCCCGTTACTCCCCTGCTGTCATTTATTCGCCTCCAGACTACCCCTGGCCGGTACACACCCAAGCTGCGCCTCGTTCTCTCTGCTCCCCTTTCGGCCCCGCTCGGTCTGTCCCTCTGCACCCCACACAGCCGTCCCGGAGACAGCCCGCAGCGTATTTCCGCTGTGCCCCCGGGGTAGGATACAACGTATGAAGTCGATTTCCCGGCCTTCCGGCCGTGAGTGCGGCGTCTTCCCCGCGCCCTGAGGCATGCTGTGCTCGAGCAACACGTGGATCTGCGCTGGTTGTATCGCCCGCGGCGCCCGCACCTTCCCGGACCTGGGCACGGGTGAGGCTTGGAGCTGTGGCCTGCATGTCGCCTTGCTCCGCCTTCGATCCCGCCCCTGGAGCGTGGCTCTAACCCCCGGCTTTCGCCACAGGCCCCGCCCCTCCGCGTTGGCCCCGCCCCTCGCGCTGACTCCGCCCCTCAGGCCTGCGTCACCAGGCCCTAGTGAGCCCCCCAGTTGTGGGGTCAATTCCACTAAGCTGGCCCTGCCACCCGCGGGTCCGGGAGACCCCGTAGCGGACTCCCTCACGAAGCTCCGCCCCTAAGCGCGCCGTTAAACCGGAGCTCCCCAGAGCTGCAGCATAGGTCCCCCCGCTCCCCGCCCCCCCGCCGCCGCCCGCCCGCAGTTCGGTTGGGCGGGAGATTGGTTCCCACCCAGCCCAGCCCTGCCACTGCCCGGAGACATCTAGCGGCTGCCTAGCCGGCGCGCGCTCCCTCATGATGCTCCGCCCCTTAGAGCGACGTGTGACTTCAGTGCCCCTGTGCAAACCGTCCCCCCCACCCCCCAACCTCGTGTGAGGCCAACAGACCCGTGGGCTAGTTCCCACCCAGTCCCTTCTTTGGGCCCAATGTTCCTAAGAAATGTGGCTCAAAGTTCTTGTAGTGATTTGTGGAGGGAGGTGGGGTCGGATAGCCCACAGGGCTACTGCTCTGCACCCTGCCCCATCTCCGATGTAGATGGAGAAACCAAAGTGGCTTTTTAAAAAATACATATTTTTGCCCTAGCCGGTTTGGCTCGGTGGATAGAGCGTCGGCCTGCGGACTGAAGGGTGTCAGGTTCGATTCCGGTCAAGGGCATGTACCTTGGTTGCGGGCACATCCCCAGTGGGGGGTGTGCAGGAGGCGGCTGATCGATGCTTCTCTCTCATCAATGTTTCTAACTCTCTATCTCTCTCCCTTCCTCTCTGTAAAAAGTCAATAAAAAAATATATATATATATTATTGATTTCAGAGAGGAAAGGAGAGGGAGAGAGAGAGATAGAAACATCAATGATGAGAGAATCATTGATCGGCCGCCTCCTGCACGCCCCACACTGGGGATCCAGCCTGCAACCCCAGCATGTGCCCTGGCCGGGATTGAACCCGGGACCTTCAGTCTGCAGGCCAATGCTCCATCTACTGAGCTAAACCGGCTAGGGCTAGGTCTTCATTTTTAATATAAACCACATCATGTCAAATCTCTGCTTAAAATCCCTTTTAAAAAATATATTTTTTATTGCCCAGCCAGGCATGGCTCAGTAGTTGTGCCTCAAACTATGAACCAGGAGGTCACAGTTCGATTCCCAGTCAGGGCACATGCCCAGGTTGTAGGCTCTATCCCCGGTGTGCGGCATGCAGGAGGCAGACCATCAATGATTCTCATCATTGATGTTTCTCTCTCTCTCTCTCTCCCCCTCTCTCTCTTCCTCTCTAAAATCAATCATATATATATATAATTTACCAAAAAAGGTACATGGGAACAACCCGGCATGTGCCCTGACTGGGAATCAAACCGTGACCTCCTGGTTCATAGGTTGACGCTCAACCACTGAGCCACGCTGGCTGGGCTGTAAATATTTTAAATGCCCAAAACTACATTTGAAAGAGTGAGAAAATCAAATGCTAAAGTTGAATAAAAACAAATGAGTGTAACTGCTTATCCAATTTATAACAAAACCGCACAGAGACAAGGATTCAAGTGCCTTTTAAACTCAGCTGTCTGACTGTGCTCCCTTCATGGGATATATTCTCAGGACAAAAGGCACTGGTTTCACTCTTAGGGTGTTTGTTGTCGGCAATGGCAGCAATGAGGTGACTGTGAAGCTATTTTGGGTGTGCTTTAAGACAGATTCTCTCTGGCAGAGCCAATGAGTAAATATATCCGTGTTTCCGGGAATGAAAATTCTCACTTTGGAATAAGGGAAGGTGGCAAAGAACTGTGATGCTGGACTAAAATTGGGGATTGCAGTATAAACTTTTTTAAAAAATTGATTTCAGCCGAAACCGGTTTGGCTCAGTGGATAGAGCGTCGGCCTGCAGACTGAAAGGTCCCAGGTTCGATTCCGGTCAAGGGCATGTGCCTGGGTTGCGGGCACATCCCCAGTAGGAGATGTGCAGGAGGCGGCTGATCGATGTTTCTCTCCCATCGATGTTTCTGACTCTCTGTCTCTCTCCCTTCCTCTCTGTAAAAAAATCAATAAAATATATATTTTAAAAAAAAATTGATTTCAGAGAGGAAGGGAGAGAGAGAGAGAGAGAGATAGCAACATCAATGATAAGAAAGAAGCATTGATCGGCTGCCTCGTACACACCCCACACTGGAGATCAAGCCCGCAACCTGGGCATGTTACCCTGATTGGGAATTGAACCGTGACCTCCTGGGTCATAGGTCAACGCTCAACCACTGAGCCACGCCGGCCGGGCTGCAGTAAACATTCTGACACCTATTGAAGGATCTCAGCATTGGGGCCTGCAGGTGTCCATGGAGCCATCCCCAGACTCTAGGGCAGTGATGGCGAACATATGACACGCGTGTCAGAGGTGACACGCGAGCTCATTTTTTTGGTTGATTTTTCTTTGTTAAATGGCATTTAAATATATAAAATAAATATCAAAAATATAAGTCTTTGTTTTCCTATGCTTGCAAATATCAAAAAATTTCTATATGTGACACGGCACCAGAGTTAAGTTAGGGTTTTTCAAAATGCTGACACGCCGAGCTCAAAAGGTTCGCCATCACTGGGCTAGGGGCAAAGGCAGAGTGCAGCCTGTGGCTGCTCCATCCTCACGTGGAGTCCCCATTCTCTTCTCATGACAGCAGAGGGCCTGGACCAGAGCCTCCTGGTCTCTTCCCAGCCGGGCCTCCCATCACTCATCCCTGTAGCATTTCCTCCCTTTCCTGCCTGCCCTTCCCCAACCTGCCCATCTCTGTCTTGCCACATACAAGCTTCTAAAATGAGGGGTCCCCAGTTACTGTCACCACCTCCTCCCTTCCCCATATAGTAGTTGCATCTTTCTCCCCTCCCCCCAACATCGCTAATGACCTTTTTTTAAAAAATATATATATTTTATTGGTTTCAGAGCAGGAGAGAGCGAGAGAGAGAGAGAGAGAGAGAGAGAGGAACATCCATGCTGAGAGAGAATCATGGACCAGCCGCCTCCTGCACGCCCCACACTGGGGATGGAGCCCGCAGCCCGGGCATGTGCCCTGACCGGGAATCAAACCCTGACCTCCTGGTTCCTAGGTTGATGCTCAGCCACTGAGCCACGCCGGCCGGGCAGCTAATGACCTTTTTTTAAGAAAACCTTATCCGAGAAGCTAGGACATTTTTTCCATTGATTTTAGAGAGTGGAAAGGAGGGGGGAGGTGGAGGAAGAGGAGGAGGAAGAGAGAGAGGGAGAAACTTCGATATGACAGAGACACATCAATCAGTTGCCTCCCACATGTGCCCCTGAAATCCAGGCATGTGCCCTTGACAAGAATAGAACCCGGGACCCTCTGGTGCACAGGCTGACACTAACCACTGAGCCACAGTGGCCAGGGCGCCAATGACCTTCTGGTTACTAATGCAGGAGGCTCTGGCCTGCCCTCACTTTGCCTCTTGGCAGCCCTGTGGAAGGGCATTCTTGGCGCCTGACACTGAGCTAGCTCTCCCTGTGGCCTTACATCGGGGTTGTTCCTGGCCTCTATTTTATCTCCAGTTGGTGAAGTTCAAGGCCCAGTCCTCTCCCCTTCTCACGCCACACTCTCTGGGAAGCCACCTCATCTGTCTTCACAGGTTCTAGGACGTTCTGTCCACAGGTAACCCCGATCACAGAAGGCTGCAGACGGCTCTGGAATCAGACTGGGCCTGGCTCCATCAGCTCTTCCTTTACTGAGGCTCCCATCACACACCCTGGACTCCACTCCTGTCTCTACATCCTGCCTGATCACCCTGCTGACTTCCTGACCCCCGTGTCCAACTGGCCAGATGTCTCCTAACTACCAGATGGCTGTCACCCCCAAGCCAGGAGGCACTGGCACAAGGAACTCACCAACTGCCTCTAGGGTCTGTCTGAAACGTGCATCTGCGTGTCGCTCCCCCTGCAGTGACAGTTGTCACTTGGGGCCATTTCCCCTCCCCAAGGACCTGGCTTTTGTTGAGAATTCCCTCTCCCATCCACAGCACATGCGTGCCCAGGGTGGCTGGCCCCCCACTACCCACCGCTACCCGCCCCTGGACAAAATGATTGGAGGCACAAGCCAGTTCTGAGCAATAAAAATGAGAGTTTATTTGCTGGAGGCATGTGAGAAAGAAGCTATGCTACAGGGCGAGAAGGTGCTGGCTATGAACAAGGGGTTCAGTGGAAGCTGCAGGCAGCCATCTTTGCTCCTGAGGCGGCAGCCTGGGGTGAAGCAGACAGTGCAGAGCACAGAGGGGAGGTAGGAAGAAACTGGGTATTTGGTAAAATTGTTCATCTGCTGCCAATACCCCTGGACTTCTCAGTTTTGTAAACCGGTAAGTTTCCTTTATTGTTTAAACCAATTTCTTTTATGGTTAAACCAATGATGGGAAACCAAAAGCAGCCTGGCTGAAATAGTTCTTTTTGGATCAAAGTCTCACATTCACCTTTAGTGCTATTGAAAACTTCAACATAAAATTCCTGACTCAGAATAAAGGAGGGCGTTGGCAGGTCTGTCACGTGAGCTGCTGATCACACGGGCTCCCCCGCAGGCCCTGCTGTTTGATATTCCCAGCTCTCAGGTGGGGCCAGGGCTTCCGTCTGCTCTTCAAATCCATCGCCCATAAGGCCTCTGTCCTTCTTCCCAGCCCAGGGCCTCAGGCAGGAAGGGTGGCAGGGCTCGGGTATCCATCCTCCTGTGCACACGGCTTCCTTCCCGCCTCAACTGCCCTGGTGACCTCCTCCAAGGAGCAGGTGCCTGGGTGAACTCTAGTGCCCGCATACCAGGCAAGTGGGAGGACCAGTGCCACCAGGCTGTGCTTCTGCCCGCTCCCTGGCACTCCGAGGTTTCCTTTTGGGCAGCGAGGGGTGTGCAAAGTGAAAGCCCTTGTGCACACGTGGTAGGGGGAGGGTCTGCTTCCATTCTATGGGTGAGC